CAACACATAAGTGGGGTGACTAAAAGTATTTACAGCCACGATTATGGGAGGAGGTGGGGACTGAGGCTGTATCTTATTAAGTGACTTCCAGTCCCCAGGGAGTCACAACTTTAAGGCTGTTTGGAACTGGCTGGCTGCTAACTGCCTTGGACCTTCCACAGTGCGAATGTACACCAATCATTTAGATGTCCTCAGAATATATATAGATTCTGTAACTTGGGACTACATGCTCATTTTTCAACAAGTCCAACTTCCCATAAAAGAAGAAACACCAAATACTTGGGCAAGAAATAATGACAAGGGTTAAGATAATAGATATTTGGGTTGGCTAAGATGGGGTTCTCTATATTTGGGAGGCTGCTCTTATTTCCCCTTCAATTACTTGTAGTATCATAAAGTTTCTATGAAAATAATCTACATGGACCACAGCAGAAAAAAATAAAAAAAATAAAACAAGACATAGATAAAGATGCAAATACACGCAATACAGTCACATCTTTCCCTCTGGATATTAACACACAAATGTGACAGTTTCCCAACTTTCCATAAGAATAGATGGGATATTTTTTCCTTGTAGTTTACATACTGTTGACTATGCAAAAGCCTTTTTAGTTGCCTAATCACATGAAATATATATTTTATGGGCCCATTTGATTTTAGTGAAGTATGTTTATGAATCCTAAATGAGATTTTAGAACAAGTCAGGTTTCCAGGTTGTGTGGCTGAATAGCCATTTTCCCAAGAGTCTTAGACGAAGTAAGGGAAGGTTAAGAATTCAACCCCCTACCATGATTTCTTTCCCCAAATATTTGGGGGGGGCAGGGAGAGGAAAGGGTGCACTTAAAAATTCACATCATTTCTGACCGAAAGTCATTGCAAATAGTTAGTAAATCCACTTTTAGAATCACATGTATGGATTCAAATTGCTCTGAATCCCAGTTAAGCCATCTGGGAAGGAACATTTATTTAGGTAACAAAAACTCCACAATAATTTAAGGATTCTGAAGCTGCTTGTTACAAGGGAAAAGTAAGGGACAAAACTTCACCAACTGAAAAAAAAAATCAAGCTTTTCAATGAAAGACATTTGCACGTTCCACCTCTCAAAAGATAATTCAGGACACACACAAAAATAGCATTCAGAACTCTAGAGAACACTGTATAGCTCTCTTCTCCTGGTTAAATGTCTACATAACAATTCTCAAGTCACCCCATTAATGTGACAACCCTGTTTATAATAAAGGCGCAAAATATTGCTCTGTGGCATATTTTGAAAATAATATAAAAATAATTTCTATATTACAATTTAAACTTGGCTTGTAAAATATCAACATAATACAGCCTGAAATCTACAAACAGAATACAAACACCTTCCTTTAACAATAGACCTTTCTTTTTTTTTAATCATATACACAGGTAATAAGTGTGCAAATAAATGTTAAGCAAATTACTGAAAAGACCTCCATTGTGTTTTATGAATATCTGGTGAGCCTCTTTGAATCTTGCTGTTACATCAGTAAGGACACCAGATAAAGAGTTAAAACCACCCAGGCGGACCAAAGTGAAAGGGGACCACCTACAATCATTTGCTCCCTGGGCTGGGGCTTTGATCACCTAATTATGGCCGTTCCTCGGGAGAAAGGGCTCTTCCCCCTAATGAGGCTTACTATCTTTCTAGGGAAAAATATTCACTTACTATTTGTCATCCTCTTTGTTATCTCCTTTTTTGCTTCCAAAAGTAAATATAAATCATAGAATCTTAGAGTTCTCATCATCTAGTCCCACTCCCTCATTTTGGCTGATGAGGAAACCAGGGCCAGAAAGCTTACTGACTTGCCCGGTGTCGCACAGATAGTCAGAACTCAAACCCAGGTCTCCTGACTCCCAAGTCAATAATCTTTCCACCATACTCCACTGGCACTTTTCTAAAAAAAAATGATTATGCATTCTAAAAATGCATTTTGTAGCAATAAACTATTTTTTTTTACTGGTTCACATTCAGCATGATATCATAATTTAGTCAGAAAGACCTCTGGCCAGGGACCTAGCCTAATTCTGTCTTTTATGCAGCATGCAACATATTGGTGTCCAGGATTATTAAATTATAATATAAAAATAAGTTTTTTCTTTTTTCTTTTGCAAATACTGTTGGAAGGATGGCTGTCAAGAAAAAGGATAGAGGATGCAATTATTTTATGTTGTGAAATGGGCGACTCAATCAACAAGCTTTAATTAAGTGCCAGGCACAATGTCTGGGCTTGATCAGTGCCATCAGGGCCTACACCAAGCATAGTCAGTATGCTGGCTTGACCAGGCCATATTGTCTAGGACACAGAATGTCTTTGTGGTGAGACATGTCTAAAACCTTAGCTAGGGGGTAGATTTAGAACTCTTTCCAAAGTAGTTAAAAAAAAAAAACCCTTGATGGACTCTCTTTCAATACATCAAAGATGGCAGTGGGGTAGGGGTAAGATTTATTTTTAATTTCGAGGGAAAAGACTAGGCTGCCACATTCTATTAGAAGTGACAGAATTAATTGCTCTGAATAAATTTAGAATTTCCTGTATTACAATGGACCTTTTTTTTTTTTTGAGGTGGTGGGGGCAGGGAAGAGGGGATTCTATATTTGTTTAAACCAGGCAGAGAGCATGAGAAAGGTAAAACATTTGCATAGCAAGTTTTGTCTTTGAAAAATTTGACAGGCAGAAGGACTGTAAAATTAGAAAATAAGAAACAAACATCAACTTTGTTTTATGCTCTTGAGGCCCCAGGGTGCCTGTGAGGCTCCTATCCATTTCTGGATGTGTATTCGAGCATCATTAAGGTTAGCTGTCGAATTTGTGTTTAATCTTGTTAGAAGGAGCAGCCATATGTTCGTTTATCTGTGTCTATGTCTGGATTCTACAAATGAAGCAACCATTTTCCTCAACACAGTACACTTGGGTCACAAAGCGACAGTTCTGGCCTGAACAGATGAGATAAATCCAAATAGCTGCTGGAAAACCCTTATACCAGAGTTTAAAAAAGAAAGAAAAAAATCTTTTTTTTTCTTCTTTTGAGTAACAAAAACTGTAACAGGAGAAACATATGCATTATTAATTGTTACACATTCAAAGTATTGTTCAGCATGAAAATTAAAATTTTCAAAAAATTTCCAGTAAAGTTTTTTTTTTTCTATTTACTAAAGAATTTTGACTCAAGGAATTGTTCATGTAAAACTCCAGTAACTTGCAGAAAACCTCACATGCCGCAGAATAAAAAAATTAATTACTCACAGGAATTACTCTATTGTAATACTTAAAACAAGTAAAAAAAGTATCGCTTTTTTTCGGTTTTTGTTTTTGTTTTTTGCTGTTAGTGTTCCTTCTTAGCATCTTCTCCAGATGTGAAGCAGTTGGCTCAAATTAAGAGACAGCTCTACCTGTCATTTTTTTTTCTGAGGCTTGACATTGTCATGACCTCACACGGAAGCAGTTGTAAAGGAGGAATCAAACGCTATTCTAAGGCTCTAAGAGTACTTTAGATTTTTCTTTTGTCATTGAGGTTTCAGTCCCTTGTTTCTATTCCTCAGAAACAAACAAGTTCTAATATTTGATTGGAATGGTAAGTTTTGATGTTATCCATTCCCTTGGCTAACAGCTGTCATCACTAGAGGTAACCCATGAAAGGACAATGGGTATTGCTGTACAAAAGAGGGTTGCTAAGGATACACTTTTGAGAAATTTATGTTTCCTATGGGAGGCACCACACAAGAAAAGGGAAAATTTAATGAGTTTCGGCCTTGATCTCATCATCCTATGGTCAAAAACTGTTACAGGATCTAAAATATCTGATGTTGGTTCTATAAATTCAGCACAGAACACTCTGGCTTTGGCCTGAATTAATCAGAGAGGAATATTTCTCCCTTATCCCCTATTCCACTCAATTCTACTTCCAATGGGGGTAGGGAACTCTGTTACCATTCACGTTTCAAAGTCAGTCTCCATAGTGAGCTCACAAGCCAACCAGTATGTTTTCTTTGTCTAAGCAAAAATGGCTCCCCAACCTACTATCTGTCACACACTTGGCTACGAAAGTTTTCCACATGCCCACAGTCAAAAGTCCATTAAAAAAAAAAAGGTGGTCAAATTAAAAATCTGAGTGGACTGGTATCATTTAGCTCATGTACCAGGATGAGTTCATTGAGTTTTATACATCCCACCCACCTTTGTGGTGAATGGCAGGAATTTCATCCTATTTCCCTCTTGAATAGCTCCTGTCATCTGAGGATCTCCAAGCAGCTGACAGACTTGAACAGAAACCTCACAACACCCCTGTGAGGTAGGTTATAGTGTACCCATTTTAGATTAACTGGGCTACTTTTGATGGCAGTGTAAATGTCGCCTCTAGACAGATGAACATGATAAGAGGGTTTGCTTATGAGATGAAGCCTTATATTCCTAAAAGGTCAATGACAATGATCATAATGTCAGAAATAGTTAAAAGATCTTTCTAGCCCCCTCCCCACCCAACAGAATCGAGTAGGGTAGTAGGAGGAAGCAAAAAACCCTGTTTAAACTGGCTAACAAGCATACCCAGCAGAGCTACCGACACAGACCTTCTCTTCACATTTTGTTTCTACATAATGCATTACTAATTGAATTCGTACAAACATCAACTAGTGTGGAAGATGTCAGTCACCGTGTTTTTAAAAAAAAGTATGAAAAGTTATCCCCTTATCAAAACAAAGGGCTGTGGAATTTATTTATTTTCTTGAGGAACACAAAGATTCTCCTGATGGCTATTGGATCTTCAACGTGTATGAGGCAGATGCTTTCCTAACACTTTATCACATCTCCAATATTATGACTTTTCCCTCTATCCTTCTACTACCTGAGTGACATCAGCATAAGTTCAGGCACCATTAGTGATTTCTGACCACACATAGACACAGCACTGACAAAAAAAAAAGGGTAAACAACCTTTCAGCTGACCAGGGTGTGTAAAAAAGACACTGACAAAATGGAAAATAAATTCTTTATGATAAATTCATCTCTGATTTCTGTGTTTTTCCCAAATGGAAGCCACAAGCCTGACAGTGACTGTCACTCCCTTTGGGAAGGACGGGCTTTCCTCTGTCGTCCACCACCTTTCACCATCGTAAGAAAAAAAAAATGATGAGACTAATTGGTTTTGGAAGAGCCTCAGAAGTCTTCAGTGCCGGTGTCCTTTGGTCTCTCTCTCCCTTCGCTTGAGCTCCTCTTTGTAGCAGTAGGAACAATAATTTTCAGTCTCTGGGCGACCATAAAAGGAACAGTTCTCCTTCTTACAACGGTTCTGCTGAATGGAATAGATGGGGCAAACTGTGCTTCGGCCTCTGTTTTTATCATTGTTCAACCACGTCTGTGGTGCTTCCTCATCGGCGTATTCTAAGCAGTCTCTGACGTCACCAGTGTTAAAGCCATTGGTGTATGTCTGGGACTTGTGTTCTGTGGGCAGGGCATAGGTCAAAGATTCCACTGTGTTCACTGTGCGGATGCCCGCAATACGGGCAGGGCTGTAGCTCTGTGACGACAGGGATCTATTCTGCTGGGGGTACGTGGCACAAGTTTTGAGAGTGCCAACCACTGGCTTGTAGGTATCATCCTGGAAGCTGGACGGTTTGGAGTTGACATCATGCAGATGGATCACGCTTTGCCTCTGGACTGGGGGAGTATGGCTATAGTGGGCGGAAACGGGAGTGGGGCCATTCCTCTTTGCGCTGTTGCTAGGGGAAGAAAATGACCCTGGGGTGGGACTGGTACGGTCTTTAAATTTTAAAACAAGTTGAGTTGTATGGCTTTGAGGCAAGACTGGTGATGCCCTGTCCTGAGGGGACGACTCCAGTTTTTCCTTGGAAAAGGCCTCTTGTTCCAGTTTCCTGCAGGAGGACCCACCAAGTGAGGCCTTCTTCTCTGCCTCTTTCCGCTTCTGTTCCTGCTCTGCGTTGAAGCGCTCCTGAGCACTGGTCAGGTAGTAACCAATCATTTCCTCGTGGAATTGATGCCGGTGACTGGTCAGGAGGAGACCAGCGAAGATGAACTTACGCTCGCCTTGCATGGCAGCTCTCAAGATGTTAAGGCTTAGCTTCACATCGGTGCTATACTTCCATGGGTCTGACTGCTTATCTGAGAGAGTCTTGGTGTTTTTCTCAATGGGAGACACACTTGCCTTGTCGGTGGGAGATGGGGTGTTCTTTTCTGAGGGGGATGTGCTCGCTGACTGGCCTGACTCCTCCTTGCTGCCTTTTCGAGATTTGGACTTCTTCTCCTTGACTTTATCTGTCCCATCGCCATTCTTCCCATTCCCTGAATTGGCTCGGCCCATTTTCCCATGGACCAGCCCACCAAGGCCTCCCATGTTCTTCTTCAGTTTGATTCCGAGGGTTTTGCTGAGACTCCCCAGCTTATTGGCCACAGAATCGGTCCTGTTCTTGTCCTTTTCCTTTCTCTGTTTGTCCTTCTCTTTTTCTTTCCCGTTCTTCCCATTATTGCTATTGGAATTACTACAGATGGAATCTCGGTCTGAGTCCATGGAGTCAGCCAGAGACTGAACATCCTCTCCTGCTGAAGCTGTAGGAGATTCAGGCTGGGCCAAAGGAGCCTAAACAAGAAGAATTAGGAATATATGAGATCTGAGAAAGACCATTGTTAAGGAAAAAGCTTAACTTAAAAAAAACAACCACAACAACAACAATAAAATCCCTCTTGATCTCACTGTGCTTTTGACCTTTAAGGCTATGCTCTGACTAGTCTCTGTGTACTGTTTAATTAGCCTCTTTTTTTGTGTACAGGACACGAAGTACTTAGAGGAAAATCTGGAGGGACAGAAACATGATCTATTTGGCAGCAATAATAAGCAGGGTTTTTAAAAGGCATGACCGAAGGCGTTTATACTAATGCACTGTAGAGACCCTATAATCTGCATGTTAAATTAGCAGGATTGTTGCCATCTGACTACATTTCTGAAAATGGAGCTTGGGTTTCTTTTCTTCTTTCTTTCTTCAGCGAAATCATGAAGGAGGTTGCTTAGAAACAGAGGAAAGTTTGGCTTTTTTTGGGGGGGGGGGTGGAATGAGGTGGGGCAAAGGCAGCTGCATCTGTAAGAGTGAACAACCAAGCCTCTAAAGGGTAATCACTGTATCAACATATAGAGCCTCCCAGATCCCTGCACACTTTAGGGAACTCAATTGCCTTGGGCCAGAAATGGTCATATTATGCTTTAAAGCATGCCCAGACTGCTTCCTTCTTATCCTCTCCCATCCCTACCCCCACCCCTTCCCCGAAGACTGGACAAGAAAAACTCATGATTCTAAATACAGGTTTATAGGATTGTAGAATTAGAACAGGAAGGGACCTCAGACGTCATCCAGATCAACCCCCACCCCACCCCATTTTACAGAGGAGGAAACTGAAGGCCAGAGAGGGGAAGTGATTTGTACAAGGTCATAGAGGTAGTGATTAGGAAACTCAGATCTCCTGACGTCAATCATCTAGCACCCTTTTTGAAGCACCATATTATCCATCTATCCATCCATCCATCCAACAAAATGTTTCTTGAGCACCTCCAATGGGCAAAGCAATAGAGTAGATACTAACAAGTTAAGGCAGACATATTCTCTGTCCTCAAAGTACTTATAATTTAGCTAGAGAGAGAAGATATAACTAATGGGTAGAAAAGATGACTAATATAGGAAAAGTATCAGTACTTGTGGTGGTACAGGTAGTAGAAGAATTCAGAGGAAGAGACGTGGTAGGAGCGATCAAAAAAGACTTTATGGACTTGGGTCTAGAAAGATGGAAAGGATTTCAATAACTAGAGATTGGGCAGAGGGCCAGTGAGGGAGGAGGAACTAGAAGTAGAAGGGCATTGTGAAATAACTGAAAAAATACAAGTTACAGTCTTAGGACTAATTTTAAGGGCAGGTAGATGTAGTTTAAAGGTAAAAACCCCTGCACAAAAACATATCTTTCCTCTTACCTCACATGGTGCCAGAAATTTTAGCATTAGAGATTCACTCCTTTGGTTCAGTAATTGGCTTTTTGATCTTTCAGTGTCCCTTATTACTGGGAAATAAGGCATGTTAAACTAGCATCTAATTAAAGATTCAATTCTTGTTAATCACCACAATTAAAAATAACAATAGCTAACATTTACTTAGTGCTTTAAAGTTAGCAAAGAGCTTTACATGTTATCTCATTTGATCATCACAAAACCATGTGAAGTAGGCACTGCTATTATCCCCATTTTACAGATGAGGAGACAGGCCCGGGGGTTTAAATGACTTGCTTAGGTTCTCACAGCTTGGAAGTATTGCAGGCAGGATTTGAACTCGAGTCATCTTGATTCCAAGTCCAACACTCTAACCACTGAGTGGCTTAACAAAGGACTCTCAGGGTCAGGATCACCAACAAAGAAAGTCTCAAGGAGAAGAGATGCTAAGATTTAAATAGGGGAAATAGAAGGGTCTTGAAGGGGAGAGTAAGAGGAAGCCAGAGACTAGTTTCATTGTGATAGAACCTCATAGAGTTAAGGGCAGGGCACTTGCTCCATTGACCGCTCCTAGAAAGATTCTATCTATATTTAACCCATGACAACTGATGGCTTCCACCAGTACCATTTCAAGATAAGACTTGAAAGTGTTGGGAGGTAGGTCCATTTCTCCCCTCTGAAGGATTCATAAGACCAGAGATGTAGAGCTGGACAGGTCCCTTAAAGATTATATAGTTGAATCTCTTCATTTTACAGATGAGAGAATTTGGCCTTAGCTTTATTGTTTGTTTTTTTTTTTTCAGTTAAATGACTAGCCCAAGGTTACATAGGTGTTAAATAGCAGAACCAGGATATCAGTCCTCATACTATGACTCTAAACATAGCACTCTTTCCACTGGACTATGCTTAGGCAGCTAGGCAGGGCAGCTAGGTGGCACAGTGGATAGAGCGCCCGGCCTGTAGTCAGGAAGACTCATCTTTCTGAGTTCAAATCTGGCCTCAGACTCTTTTTAGCTGTATGACCCTGGGCAAGTCACTTAACCCTGTTTGCCTCAGTTTTCTTATCAGTAAAACGAACTGGAGAAGAAAATGGCCAACCACTCCAGTATCCTTGCCAAGAAAACCCCAGATTGGGTCACAAAGAATAAGGACATGACTGAAATGACTTGACAACATGCTCAACGACCAGCAGCACCTTGCCTCCTTCACATCTTCTTTGGTTTATGAAAAGGGACGTCTCGTCTAGGGGTCGAGAGCAAAGTCCGCTCTCCTGGGAAGCATGGTGCCAGGGGATATGGAGTCAAAGCACTGAGTCTAACCCACGATTTAAGAGTAAACCTCCTCCTCCGCGCTTCACAACACTTCTACCTTTGATCCCTGCCTCGATGGGATGAAGCCTAAGGGCACTGAAACAGTCTACAGCGGCCACTTACGGTAAACCAAGTCTGAGGCACGAGAGAACCAATGCAGAATGGAATCTGAGGGGACTGAGGGAAAAGATGAGTGTCTAAGGTGTACTTCAAGGAACTTCAGAAAGGACTTCCTCTGAAACTCTTATTTTAATGATGAGCCTCGGAAGTGAAGAGATTTACCCAAGGTCACACAGCTAGAAAGCTACAGGACCCCAGTTTCATTTTCCTTACTTTCCACTGCACCAAACCAGGCTTTAAGAACACATCCATCATTGTCCCCCAGACTCCAGTGATGAAATTACAAAGCGGCAAATAAGTCAGAGAGTGGCACAAGTAATTGTCAAGGCAGGGATAGCAGAGAAGCCCCCAACTCTGCCGACAAGGGCCTTCCAGAAAGGGATGGGATGACTTCCCCAAGGCAGTCTGAAGGCCGTACTTTTACTTTCCTAGCTCTGATGCCCATCTTCTTCAAATCAGTGACCTAGCTGGACTAATTTTTACATCTAGGAAGAAAGTGCCACCTACTGGGAGAAGGAGGATATTCATAGAATTTGTCTTTCATTCCTGCCCCCTCCACTCGCCCCCTCCACCCCACATTATTCACACAAACACACAAGGCTTATAATTAATTCTTCTACAAGGGAGCGCAGCATGTTCTGATCTTGGCAGAGAGATATTTCTACGTTGTGACTTGTCTAAAGCCTGTTGTCTGAGCAAGCATGTTTTTCTTCTCTTTTATATTAAAAAAAGAAAGAAAGAAAAAGAAAGAAAACCAGCAAACCACGCCCCCTCCCTGCCCCATTTACTTCGTAAATAAACAGACACATATACACATATACACATAGACACAGAGACACAAAAGCAGGGGCTACTTGACCTAATTCATATCCTATTCCCAGGAAAAGAAGACAAAAGGACCAATGATATCTTTGTTATGCACTCAGTTTTGTTTTTTTTTTTTTTAATCTTCTTCCATTCATTAGAAAAAATGCAGCTCCTCTTTCCTCCTCCTCACAATCTCTGGTGAGCATATGAAGTGAGGTGGGAAGGGGGAAGGATGAGCAGTCCCCGTGGGGAGATGGGAATGTGGAGGAGAGCTGTTAATCTCTCTTCTAACAAGGGGGCCTCTGGAGGAGGGCACTTTGGGGAACTTTCCTTGGGAAGGACAAGTCCAGACTAGGAGAGGACAGTCATTAGGGAAAGAAGCTGAGGAGGGAGCAGTGGAGCCCAGGCTAGGTGTGTTCGTTCCTGAAACTCGCTTTCCTATCGTCAAGCATTTTGCCTCTGATGGAGAATACCAGGAGATGTTTGCTTCTGCCTAGAGATGAGAGGCTTACCCGGGTTTCAGAGGGGATGCGGATCCAAGTGACATTCATGTAGCTGTGCAGAAGGTTCAGCTTGGCTTCTAGAGACAGTATCAGACTGAGGAGTTTGGGAAAAATAAAACAAAACACATACAAAATGAATCTAAAACATGTCAGATGTTAAACTGCAATCAAATACACCCTCACCAATATGTGCGCACGTGCACACACACACACACACACACACACACACAGGGTTGCATCTCTCCCACCCAAGGCTTTCTGCATCTGTTAGGAGAAAATGGTCTGACAACCTACATGCTTCCCATGAATTATAGTTACTCACTGGCCCCCTCTTAGAATAGACAGGTATGGGCATTTACCCCCTACCCACCCAAAACTGGGCTCCACATCACTCACGTCCCTCTTCCCTTTTAGCATTAGACAGAGGGAGAAGTGAATGGGAAGGAAGCGTATGTGCCCAGGGACGGGGAAAAGGGTCAGTGTCTTACTTGGCTAGTCTGGCGTTATCATTGTCATCTTTTCCCCATTCCCAGTCCTTCCCAGGATCAACTGCAAAGTGCAAAGGTAGTAACTTGTGTTCAGAGTCGGTGAGAGGGATGACCGCTAGAGGAGAGAAAAAGAGACAAACAAACAAACAAATGAAAAGAGGTATTCAATTTTGGTCATGTGGAAGTATGATTCCGAGATCATTAGATAGAAAGAAAAAACATGGAACCTGGAAACCAGGTGCTTCTTCTCTTAGGCAAACTTGATATATGAAAAGGGGTATGGTCATCCAGTGGACAGGCCTTGAACTTCCCACCAGGAAGGTGTGTGGGGACTGAGGAGGGGAGAGAACCTTTTCCATTAGGGGACATAGACCTGTCTAATCCTTCCCTTCCTTTCCACGGGTCCCCAGCAAATATTGGAAAAACAAAAGCTGCTTCTTTCTAGGGACATGCAAATAGTTCTTTTGTTATTTAGCAGGGGATGGGCCCTCACAGATTTCATTTTAAACAGATCTAAGGCCCCAGACATCTTTTACAATTAACCTTCAATGGCAGCCAAATGGAAGCTATGCAGATCAAGACCTCAATCTTTGCTTTCCTTAGGGGAATTTGCAACTTGAAAAGATGTGGCCCTGAAGCTAAAGATTCTCTGGTGATTAGTCCTCCACTGGGATAGAGGGTTCGCAGCAGGTTACCCACAAATCCCTTAGAGTTATCATCAATGACAGAGCAAAGACTCCTTAGGATACCTACATGCCAAGACTATAGATATTTTCTACCTACGGTTCAAAAAGGAAAAGATGATTAAGTACTGTGTTAAAATAATTTCTTCATGTTTTCTGAAAAATCTCTTTAATTCTCAGAGCACAGTAACTGGGGTATACATATACAAATTCATAAGGATCAAAGCAGAATTCTGCCCGCATTTCCTAGTCATTTCACAAGGAAAGTCAGGGTAAAAATATAAGTGATAGCTGAAGGAAAGAGGAAGAAACAAAGTCAGTTTCAGCTCTGGGAGCCTTCAAGAAAAGGGTGAAAGGGGATGCTAGGTCAATCGATTGAAATCAAATGAGATACATATGAGACACAGATATGTAAAGCACTTTGCAAATCTTACAACCTATATAAATGGTATTATTGTCACTCTTATTAGCAGTTAACTGCATAAGAAAGTTTCCTGTAGAGTTAGGCAAGGAAGTAGCACCAACAAAATGAACAGGATTTGCTTCTTGGGAAGTCTTGAAATCCATTCTGTTGGTCATCTAGGAATGACTGATTCTCTTTGCCCTGTGATACACATGAGCTGCAAGCTAAAATACACCCATCATACCAAAACTACCTTTTATCATACCTGCGGACTCCTTAGACCCCTATCCCTTACATAGGAGAGTCTGCTACTTAAAATCATAGCATTGACTAGGAAATGCTGGTTTTGCTTAGTGGTCTCCTCTCTTACCTTTTAATTGTGGATTTCTGGTGGATATATACATACACACATATGTGTGTGTATATATATATATATATGTAGGAACATACATGGTATATCCACATGTATATTTTATTTACATGTATATGTGTATATATGGATAGATAGATATAGATATAGATACAGATATAGATATAGATACAGATATAGATATGTGTATCCATATACCGGTTTGAACTCTGTACCTCAGGCTTCCCTAGGTTCATGTCTAACATAATCCAACTCTGGTAATCATGAAGAAATTTGTCTTTAATAGTGCTTGATTCTAACATTGGACACCTCTAATCAACTTGGCAGCTAGCTGGTGCTGGGGATAGAACCCTATACCTGGAGTCGGAAAGACCTGAGTTCAAATATAACCTCACACACTCACTATCATGTTACCCTAAGCAAGTCACTTAAGCTCTGTTGGTCTCTTTCCTCATCTGTAAGATGGGAGTAATAATGGTACCTATCTCCTAGGATTTTCATGAGAATAAAATGAGAAAACATCTGTGATGCACTTTGCAAACATTAAAGTTACTATGTAAATGCTAGCAATGATGATGATGATGATGATGATGATGTGAGGATACTCTTTTCTCTGGATTCATGTGACATTGCTTTTATCTGTCGACCACTCCTTCTCAGCCTTATTTACTGATTCTTCACCCATCTCATGACCAATAACCATGGATGTAGCCCCTCCCTGCCAAGATTTTGTCTTGGCCCCTCTTTTCTTTTCCCTTTATACTATCTCGCTTAGTGATCTCATTAGCTACCATGGGTTCAATTATCATCTCTCTGTAAATGATTCTCAAAGCTCTATATCTAGCCTTAAACTGTCTCCTGAGCTCCAGTCCTACATCACCAAAGGCCTCTTGGATATTCAAACTACATCTCCCATAAGCATCTCAAAATCGCCATGTCCAAAACATGGGTTGAAGGGAAAGATCCGAGTTCAAATATGACCTCAGATACTTACTAGCTGTATGACCCTGGGCAAGTCACTTAACCTGTTTGCCTTAATCCACTAAGAAGGAAATGGCAAACCACTCCAGCACCTTTGCCAAGAAAATCCCATGGACAGTACTGGCATACTATGGTCCACAGAGTCCCTAAGAGTCAGAAAAGACTAAACAACAACAATAAGTGTCTGAGGCTAAAATTTGAACCCAGGTGCTTCTGACTCCAAGCCCAGCCCTCTCTCCACTGCACCATCTAGCTGCCCAAATCTGCTTGGGCATTCAATTCACTACAATATGCCATTCTGATTGAAATATATGAAGATTTATCAGCTTCATACAGCTACATAATTAGAAAAGGGAGGAGTATTTTAATAGGCAAATTAACATCTGAATATTATTGTGAAATTATTTTGACCTCATAGGCAACCTGAAAAGGTCTCAGGGATCACCAGGGGTCCAGGAATTATACTTTGAAAACTGCTGAACCAGACCATGCTATTTAATAATTAACTGATGAAGATCCTTCTTCTGCAGTTTACTACCTGTGTGACCAAAGGAAAGTCACCCAAACTCTCCAGGCCCAAGGTCTCTTGTAGCTCTAAGTTGATGATAATGATGGAGGCTATGATGATTCTATGATCAGTTTTCTCAAGCGCAAAATGCAAAAACCTGTTATCTCTCTTTTACATCTACATCTTATTGTGAGGTTCAAAGGAGACAATGTAGGTAATATGTTTTGTAAATATATAAATACCACCTATCATCCTCAAGGTAAGTAGTTCCTTCATGTCTATGTGCCGAGCACCTGGCCCTGCTCCTTGAACGAGTAGGTACAAAATAAATATTTTTAATGAATTAGATATATGAAGTTATGAAGAGAGAGAAAAAAATTCCCATTCCTATCATTAATCTTTGTTAATATTTAATTTTCTACCAAGCAGGACGAGAAACAAGTAAATAAAATTCTGCTTCCAAATATGGCTACAGAGAAGGTGAAGGAAATGACATTATTCCTCTCCTTTCCCTGCTCTCCCCTCCCTTGGGAGAAACAGAAATACTGACAAAAGGACAACCTACTGTTTTCATTTAATCCTGGGAAATGAGAAACTTGCTGATCTCGATAGCTGACCTTTCAGAGGGAGCATGTTTGCAGCAGCAATAATGTCTTTGACTCAGCAGCTGCTCATAAGCCAAAACTCACTAGTTTGCCAAGCTAAGTAGGTGGTGGGAAAGACCCTGGGTCGAACAGGTCATGGCTGTAGGAGTTAGTGGCTGGTGGGGAAGACCTTTTCATCTTTTACCATGTTGTTTCTCATTCATACTGAAGAGTCATCAGGATTCACTAATGAACCAAGCAGAACCATGGAGAATCCCTCCAAAGCTGATTAAGCCAGCAGGCAAATAGGAAAAGAATGAAAACTCCCCTCTTAACTATAGATGCGCACCAAGCATACAGATGATAAAATGTGCACTCATAGGGGAACGACAGCAGAATTTTTCTTCCTAAAACATGGGAATGGAGGCTAAAGTTCCAATTCCTAAAATCCTATTGCTTTTTATTCTCTTGTTTTGTGAAGATGATACAAGGAATGCCGTCCTTTCTCCCCTCTGAATTCTTTTCCTTGTTTACTGGATGATACATAAGAGGTAGGGTAGCTAGGTGACACAGTGGATAGAGCACCCAGGTCAGGAAGACTCATCTCCCTGAGTTCAAATCTGGCCTCAGACTCAGCAAGTCAGTTAACCCTGTTTGCCTCAGTTTCCTCATCTGTAAAATGAGCTGAAGAAGGAAATGGCAAACCACTCCAGTATCTTTGCCCAAATGAGCTCACAAAGGGTTGGACATAACCGACAAAAACAAAACAAAAAAAAAATGACTGAACAACAAAGTATATGCAGTGGAAAGCAGAGCATCTTCAGGTAGAAGGATCTGGGCTCCCAGTCTATTACAATTTGAAGGATCAAAAGATCATAGAATTAGAGCTGGAAGAGGCATTAAAGAACTTTTAGTCCAATGCCCCCACTTTACAAAAGAGGAAATGAGGGCTATGGGAGCTAAATGACTCGAAATGACTTTTACATCTGATTCCAAATCCACCTTTCTTTCTACCGCTTTGAGAGAGCACTGGATTTGGAGTCAAAGGACCTGAATTTGTTAGATGAGTGACCAGAAGCAAATCATTTTTCTATTTCTGAGGCTTAGTTTTTTCATCTATGAATGAAGGAATTGAACTAGATGATCTCAAAGGTCCCTTTCATACTGGTAAACATTTAACAACCAGTTCTCCCCCCCCCCCCCAAATAGTACATGTGATACACTCATCTTTTTAATGGTTTTTTTTTTTTTGGTGAGAAACAGCATTTTATTTTATTTATTTTATTTTGGCCTTTTTGATGAGGCAACCAGGATTAAGTGACTCACCCAGGGTCACACAGCTAGTAGGTGTCAAGTGTCTGAGGTCGGATTTGAACTCAGGTCCTCCTGACTCCAAAGCTGGAACTTATCCACTGCACCACCTAGCTGCCCCCACATGATACACTTTTAAATTTAATCTTTATTACTAACATTTCCCCCTTCGCCTTAAAAAGTCTAAACACTCAACAAAACAATCAAACCTTGATTTGTACCTGATGCAGATGCATCAGATATAAATGCTGAAACTGATTTGACAACCAACTCAG